ACTATTAATAATGCATTCTTTCCTTGCACACCTTCCTCCTTACAAAGTAGAGAAATTTCCTAAGATCTGTTTTTACATCATCAAATTTTTCTCTTTTCTACAGATAATATCACCTACTGCATTATTTTTGGCTGCAAAAGTGGAAGAACAAGCTCGAAAACTTGAACATGTTATCAAAGTGGCACATGCTTGTCTTCATCCTCTTGAGCCACTGCTGGATACAAAATGTGATGTATGTTTTTTTTTTTTGTTTTTTTTTTTTAAGTGCTTGGAGAGTTTTTCTTTAGAAGTTTGAAACTTTTTCATATTTTAGGCTTAATACAGTTAGTGTGGAATACCAAATGTTGCTTGTTTTTATTACCACTGAGGATCATAATACCAGGAAGCCATCTGACAGAAACATTTCAGATATGTTCCTGAATTTGGATGTCATTCTGAATTATATAAAGCTTTGATTCAAAGTTACTTTCAAGTGTTTCACATGTTGTCTGTCCTCAAAGCAAACCTGTGAATTATATAAGAGGATAAGTAATATTTGTAGATGTCCTTGACCAGAAAATAAAGAACTCTTTTATGTTATTAGCAGATGAAGAAATAGAAAAACTCTCATTTACCTCTAGAATAGTAATTAGTCTTTTTAAAGAGTTGTTCCTGCCAGGTGTGATGGCATATGCCTGTAATCCCAGCAGCTTGGGAAACTGAGGCAGGAAGATCATAAATTCAAAGCCATCTTCAGCAACTTAGTGAGACCCAGTCTCAGAATATTTTTAAAAGGGCCGGGGATGTTGCTCAGTAGTTGAATGCCCCTGAGTTCAATTCCCCAGTACCAAAAAAGAGAGAGAGAGAGAGAGCTGTTCCTTCTAATAAAGTGGGAGCTAGAATTGTAGGCCTTTTTTCTAACTTTTTTTTTATTATAGGTGAGTTATTTAATAAGAAACCTTTACTCACCAAATGACTAAAGAATTACATTAATTTTGTTTAATTTAGGTCAAGTTTCAAGTCCAGATAAAGCTCTGATAGAAGTATATCTGATTTTATTAATAATAAACTTTATAATAAATGTTGGATTTAATGGAAAAAATGTACCTACTAAATAAATAGTAAGGAATTTTTGATTATTCAAAGATAGTACAAACTCAGATTTCTAATGAATGCTTGATAGTATTGCTCAAATACTAGAAAACCATGTTTTAAAAATTAACTCAAATGACCTTTCAGAATGGAGCATAAATAAAATTAAGTGTACTTCTTTATCACCCAGGTTAGTTGTCATGATCTAAGAATGATGTGGCAGAAAGTTCTTATATTCTTATAGTATTACAATGGAGAATACTTTCTTGAAATTTAGGGAGAAGGTTCTCTGACATTTATGTCTCCATGGGTGTATGTATGATACATTATTTTCATATTTTATATCTGAACTCTCTTCTTTTAATCTAAAGAGTTGAGGTTTTGTTTTGATTGTCTTTCCTAAAGAGTGCTAACATTTCTTTAAATGCTGGTTTGAGTTTGATGTTATTATTTAGCTTGGTGCTTCTGTTGTAAATGTGTCTTGAAGCAGTAATGCCTAGGTAAAAGTTTAACTATACGCACTGTATAGATCTTTTCTCAGTTAACCTGTATTATCATTAAGGATTTTTCTGTTTGTTTTTGTTTTTTCTTTGTACACTTTGTAAACTGGAAAGTGATTCAGTTTAGGCTTGTCACAAAAAAAATGAATGTTCTCTATTACTCTCAGTTTATTTTTCCCATATTTGCAAACTCCATTAATTCTTTTGTAATTGATCTATAATTCTCATGAGATGTAAAGTTTTAAGTAGTTTAGTAGTGTTGTTTATCTTAAGTATTTTAATATTATTTTTATCTGCCAGGCTTACCTTCAGCAGACTCAAGAACTGGTTTTACTTGAAACCATAATGCTACAAACACTAGGTATGTATTAATGTCAATTATCTTGTGTTCTTCAGTGCAATATTTTCAATTAAAGATTCCTAGAATAATTTTATTGAAGAAAGTTATTTTAAAATACGGTAGTATTGCCCAGCTTGGTGTGGTGGCACACACCTGTCTTCCCACCTACCGGAGAGACCTATAGTCCCAGGACAGGAGTGTAAGGCAGGAGGATTGCAAATTTAAGGCCAGCCTGGGCAATGTAGCAAGACCCTATCTCACAAGTGTTAAAAGTACTAGAGGTATAGCTTAGAAGTGGAGTGCTTGCTTGGCATGCACAAGCGCCTAGGGTCAGTCCCTAGTACCACACAAAAGTATTGCCCAATAGTAAAGAAACTATTTTTCTAAAATTTAATCTCATTTGACATAATTTAATTGAATGGTAAACATAGCCACCTATAATGATTTTTTTGGGTTTTCAGATAGGTGAAGCAAAATTGCTTCACTGTGGATTTGCTCCGGAGAGTCCTCTAGGATTGTTGCATATAATGGTGATGTATACAAATATACATGGCAATCCTAACTCTCCCAGTGCTTATAGTCAGTATGTAATGACTATATTACATCATTTTTAATGTGATATAGTAATTAAGTGATCATCCTTTTTAAAAAGTTAAATCTTTGTTTAAGGTTTATTTACTCTAGTTTTTTTTTTTAACTTTACAGCAGACTATTTAGGACTAAATAAAATTGAGTCCTAAAAAGGTTGTGACTTGGGGCTGGGGATGTGGCTCAAGTGGTAGCGCGCTCGCCTGGCATGCGTGCGGCCCGGGTTCGATCCTCAGCACCACATACAAACAAAGATGTTGTGTCCGCCAAAAGCTAAAACATAAATAAATATTAAAAAAATTCTCTCTCTCCCTCTCTCTAAAAAAAAAGAGAGAGAGAGAGCTTTAAAAAAAATAAAATAAAAAAAATAAAATTAAAAAAAAGGTTGTGACTTGTTTAAAATTGACGGGAAGGCAGGGGATGTGGGGATAAGAAAGGTAGTAGAATGAAACAGACATTATTACTGTATGTATGTATGTATGAATATGACTGTATAACCAATGTGATTCTGCAATATGTACACTCAGAAAAATGAGAAATTATATTCCATCTATATATGATATATCAAAGTATATAAATGCATTCTACTGTCATGTATAACTAATTAAAACAAATAAAATTTTTTTTTAAAAAGTCACACCCCCCCCCCCAAAAAAATATCATGAATTCCTTATGGAAGAACTTAGCAGCATGTGGTAGGGTAATTATGGACTTAATAGGGATCTAAGTTTAAATCTCTAGTCATCTGACTTTCTTTGTAAACACGGGCAAAGCTCCTTTCTGTTACACCTTCATTCTATGAACGTGTGTTACATTACAAATTTGCCGTTTTTTGTTTTATTACTTAATTCCCAGCCGTTGAATAGAAATACAAGTTACAGCTACTTGTGGCAGAGTCTCTTTATATAAAACGAACTTGTTTGAGATGCATGTAACTCATATTTTTTATCAAAAGATACAAGTGTTGTTCCCTGCAGATATAATGGTTTTTTATCATGTTGTTATACAAATTTACATAAACTTATGGGTAGTTATACACTTGTAATAAAATTTAAAATTAAAAAGTATTGTAGACTACTGTAAAATTACTTTAATATACAAAGGCATTGTATAGGGTCTAAATGTGTAGCATTCACCCAGCATGCACAAAACATGTGTTATATCCCTAGCACCATAAAAAAAAAAATTTAAAGTCATTGTGTAACATGTATTCCTTATGACATTCTTTTTTCTTTTTTTTTTTACATTCTTTCTTTAAATATTTTTTTAGTTGTAGTTGGACACAATACCCTTATTTTATTTATTTTTATGTGGTGCTGAGAGTTGAGCCCAGCGCCTCACACATGCTAGGCGAGCGCTCTACTGCTGAGCCCCAGTCCCAGCCCCAGTGACAAATTCTTAAGTATACAGAATGAATAGCATTATTTTAAGGGAGTAAAGTATTATTTTGCATACTTTAATTATAGTAGATATATAAGTAAAAACCTAAAACAACTTTAAAATAATTAAGATTGCCCATTTGTTATACTTTTATTCACTTAAAGAGTTTTGAATATACTAAATGTGACCTTCCCTCTTTATAAAAGTAAAAACCCTACCCTACATAAGGATTGAACATTGGAAGCTTTCAATATTTTATCTTTAGTTTTAATTCTTTAAATTGTGATTTCAAGAATTATGAGACTTACATAGTTTGCTTGCTGTGTGATTTTGATTATTAGTGTAGTTATAAGTGAACTGGTTGAGCCCTTCACTGTACCACAGTAGAAACTAAGGTCTGTATCATTTAAAAGTTCTTTTCTACCACTGTTGCCCAACATTGACATTTATGAGAAATGTTTTTTTCACATCTTTTGAAACAAATATTTGGAATATTAAGAAAGATAGTACTTGGTACTGGGGATTGAATCCAGGAGCGCTTAACCACTGAGCCATATTGCCAGCCTTTTATTTTTTATTTTGATAAGGTCTTGCTAAATTGCTGAGACTAGTCCAAAACTTGATCCTCCTGCCTTACCCGCACAGAGTCTCTGGGATTACAGGCATGTGTCACTGAACCTGGAGCCCAAAGACAATATTTTGTTAAATTCCCTGCTTAAATTACCATCTTAGTCATTGTCATTTGCCATGATTTTGTTTTGAACTTGAAAGTAAACCCAAATTAATTATAACTTAAAATTTTGAATATAATTAACCTTGATTCTGAAATAACTGTCTTGAGACATTGTATTTGAGAAGAAATTAAGTACTTCTTATTTTTGGAGTTGTAATGAGCATGTCAGTGATAAGAAACTTTAAGTCTTTGGAATTCTTTTTAACATGGACAAATGTATTATACATTTGTAGTTGTAATGAATGACATTTCTCAGGCAAGTATTGGTAGTGGTATAAGTGGGTGGGAAAAAAAGTGCTTATCATTTCAGGTTTTGAGATCACCATTGAACACCCACACACAGATGTGGTGAAATGTACCCAGTTAGTAAGAGGTAAGTGATCTTTGAAATTTTTAAGATAAGTATTAATGCTTTTTATCATCTATAATTGGTTTGTATGCTAATTTGTTCTTCTAGCCTTCTGCTATGTTTTATTAAAATGGGGTAAAAGTCATTTTTAAGCATTATTTTTTAACATTCTACATCTACCTATTTATTTACTTTCATGGTTCTACGTAGTGTGTTAGCTTCCTTTAAACTTAAATAAATTTCAGTTCACTAAAAAAATTGGAGGACTTGCAAATATTAGTAATTCTCTCCCCCATTGGGTTCTGCCAGTGCCATTTCAGTTAATATTTGAGATGTACACTATTAGTACATGGGTGCAAAAAGTAGTATTAATGTCTGATTTATTTCAAATTTTCATTGACTTCTTGAAAAGTGATAAAAAGTGTAAAGAATTCTGAGACCATTCTCAAGTCTTGCTGATAAAATCTGTCTTTGTTAGCAGATTGTCATTTTTGGAAGGGTTTTGCCCATATTTATTTAAACAAAATTGATTTAGTCCATTTGTTGAAGTTTTTTAGCATTTTTAAAAATGTTTTTTTCTTTGTGTATAATGGGGAAATCATGAAGCATGATGTGTAAATACAGTTTGTGATATGCTTGTTAGACCTTTTATAAATGGGAATATGAAGTTTTTATAGTATTTGCTTTACTCTGAGTAAAGCATGTGGTATAACATTTTTCTACTCCTATTAATAAATCCTATATATATGTTCCTGTAGTCTTAGAAATACTTTATTACACAGTTGCATGTTGTGCTGCCTCTTCTTTCCTGTTTCCCGTTTGAAGTGTTATATACTCACAGCAACCAGTTGGGACCTTTAGTGTGCTTTTTCCTCTTCTTTTTTTTTGAAAAGGAAACTTTGCTATTTCATTCTTTGACCCACAGCCTTTTTTATTTTTTAGGCTTATTCTAAGTAGGATGGGTCAGATTTTTTTGACGGCCTTGTTTTTAGAGTTTACCTAAATAGTCTTACATTGTATTCATTCTAAATTGAATTTGTTTTGTGCCTAGATAACATTTCATTATGTTAATGGATGCATTAAAAAGAAAAACATGCCTGTAACCTGATTATGTCCTTATGGAAGTAGACTTATAAAAATGTCTCATATTTTTTTAACCTAATAGCATATGTTATTACTATATCACTTTGTAAACTAGAATATAATTAGGTTCCTGTTCTTCATAATTATACAAATACATTTTATAGTATATTCTCATCCCCAGTACAGAAAACTCTGTACTAGTTGTAGTATAGATAGATAACTAGTTGTTGATGTTGAATTAAGAAAAAAAAAAAAACTTAGTTTTGTTTTCTTGAAAACTTAAGCTTCATGAGAATGACAGAGAACCATAAAACCTGCTCTAAGAGCCTAATGAAGCTAGCTTAAAGATATTAGTTAAAGGAATATATTATGGTAAGTTTTAAAAAATTACTTATCTATAAAGTAACTCAGAAAATAGAATTGGGTTTTAAATTATTCTCAAAAACTACAAATTTGATATAACACCTAAAACAAAACATTTAAATCTCATTTTTCTTGTTAATGTTTAAAATGTGTCATCCCTAAATTTGAGTACAAACCATCCATATATGTTCAACTTCATTTTGTCTGACTAACCTAGTCTTGCTCCATTTAAAAAAAAAAAATGTTTTTCCACGTTTGGTGTCTTTCTTCACTCTTACAACTTTCAGCTAACAAGAACATTTTCCCTTCATTCTTCTTTGTTGCATAGTGACTGTTTATAGATTATTTAATTTACATACATTCCTAGGTGAAAACTGCTATGGCAGTTCAAAATTATTTTTCCTTTTCTGTATGTTTTGATTCTTTTGCGGGGAGGGGTAGATAAATTTTATTCTGTAAACTCCTTTTTCTCCCTGCTAGAGATGAGAGAGTTGATATTATACTACTTTGCTACAAAATTGGCTATTGTCATTTTACAGGGACCTTTCACTTCTGTGATTTCTCCTTCCCTCCCCACCAGGAAAGAATGACATACTTAAGTCACACTGCCTCCAAGACATCTGATGCTTTGACACTCTTCCTTAGCACAACTCTGCCAAACCCAAATCCCTTTTGTAAAACCCTTATGTTGATGATCCACATGGGGCAGCAGGGATTACAGGTGCCATGAATAAAAAATAGGAGGGGGGGGAAGGAATTTGAGGCCTGTTAGAGAGGGGTGGAGTTCAGGTGAACTGATCCTAGATAAGCAGTGATTATGAATGTAATTGGGGAAAATAGGGAAACTGTAGCAAGGGCCTTCCTGCTGTGAAGAATACCAGGCAGAAGGGGAGGGTAAACTGTTTTCAGTGTCTTAAAAAGCTAGTTAAAAATTGTTTTTCTGTTGGGAACTAGTGTGAAGCATCCTGATTCCTCCCAGAGTTCTCAGATCTTTTCTAAGTATTACCTCTAATTGCATTTTATAATTAAAAAAAAATACAATGGCATTTCCTGTATCTACATCCTTATGATGCTTCTAGGTTGTTTATTTTGTTGGTGCTTAGTAGCATGATAAAAAACTGAGCAGTTTATGCTCTTGAGTTTGGGGGGTGGGGGCTTGTTTTGTTCTGTTTTGTTTTGATGGAAGTATTAAGGCCAACTTAAATGTGATGACTGAGGATTAAGTCTGGCAGGCAACTCTTTGTATTTTGTATTAGACTTCAAAAATCTTTTCTTCTTCTTCTTCTTCTTTTTTTTTTTTTTTAAATCCAGGAGAATGCTTTATTTCAACTTTTAGCTGACTAGATGCTTAACTTAGTAACAAGTTTAGCCCTTGTAACTGGCTAGCTAAAAGCAAATCGGCTTGTTTCTCAGATCTTTGGGGGATAGCAAGAAACATTTGAGTGAATGTTGTTGAAGATTTTCAGTAGTATAGAAAATGATGGCGCTCTTGTGATATTTGTAAGTAGTAAGTAAAATTTACTTTTTGTGTACAAATCTTTGAAGTTTTGTTGTGTTGAGAACTTTTTGATGGTAGCATGTTAAAGCTGATAGTATTGTCTTTTCTTTTTTTCTTTTCTTACAGCAAGCAAGGATTTGGCACAGACATCCTATTTCATGGCTACCAACAGGTTGTTATCCTGACCCTCTTTGTTGCACTGTTGTAGCACACTATAGCTTCCTTTAATGCAGGGCCCCCTCAATGTGTCTCTTACCCTTGTTGCAACAGGAGACTGGACCATCTACTGTGGTGGTACCTTCCTGTTTGCTTTGCGGTGTATTGTACAAGGGACTTTGGGCACAGAGGGGTTAAATGCACAATGTGAAGTGTAGTGGTGCTTTCTGATGACATATTCTCGATTTGTGAGTGCATAAGTCTAAAATTGGTAGCCTGAATAGCAGCTAAAGATTACAAAGAGCTAAACTTAACGTAGAAATTCGAGCAACTTGGTAAGTATAAAGCTATTTCTAGTTTACAATTATAGTTAAATGACAATTTTTTTAAAATTTCACATTGATCCACTCTTAATTTTAAAATAATTGTTAAAGTTTTTAAATAAATAAATAAAATTTATATAACTTAGGAGGTTTCTTTTTTCCAGATAATACTCACAAATAGTAAATTAGAACTAGTCAATTCTTATCAGTGCCTGGATTTACATAAATAGAATTTCTACTTTTTTAAAAAGTTGCTTCCTTTTTAGTTTATATAAAGTAAAAAATAGTGGTTGTGGCTAATAATAAACATTTCATAAATTCTGAAACTGAACTGGAAGAGTAATGTATAATTCTGTTCTAGATTGATATTAAAGATATAGATTTGTCTTCTCGGTGGGCTGTTGGGGAAAAAGGTACCAAATCAGCGCTGTGGGGATTCTTAATTTTTTGTGACACTGATAAGTTTTACTTAAAATTTTCTAAGATATATGTTATTGGGATTTGACTTTTGTTCCTAGGAAATCCGAGGGAAAAGTAGACTTAAATTTGAAAGGCATTTGACATGCCCAAGTTTTGATATATAGTAGGAGGAGAGAGGTAGTATTTTTGTAGTATTTAACATTAAGCCATTAAATTGTTTGGCAAAAGGTAAGTTCTCTTTGGGGCTTTGCTGAAAAGAGCACAGATTTACAAAATAAGTGTTAAATTATCTTTAGTAGACAATTATGTCTTTTAAGCCATGTCAAATGATACAATCCTTGATTATAATGTGACATTGAAATTACTTCGTCTGTCTTTGACAAATAGTCGTCTTTTTTCTTTACATTTTTTGCCATGACATTACAAAAGAACGAAAAATGCCACAAAAGTTTAAAATGTTATTTGTGCCTAGTGATTATTGCAAATATACTATCTTCCTCTTCTTTTTAAAAATACTTTGAATTTAGATACAGAAACATTTCAAAAAAATTATTAGCATTGATAAAATATTAATATGCTATGGGGAGTGAGGAAGAAAGCATTTCATAATCTATAGGTTTTTATATTAGAATTTTTATTGCTATATTAGCTTTTAATTTCATAAAATATGGTTATATACTCTAGATTTACAGAAGAAAACCTCCATACTGTTATTTTTGCTTTAATCTTACTGGTAAATGTTTTTCTTTGTTTTACATATTTAAATTTCTATGGCCCTGCGTTTTCAAACCTGCTCTACAACAGTCTACATCTTACGACCTTCTGTCTTCAGTACAAACCAACAGTGATAGCATGTGTATGCATTCATTTGGCTTGCAAATGGTCCAATTGGGAGATTCCTGTGTCAACTGATGGAAAGCATTGGTGGGAATATGTGGATCCTACAGTTACTCTAGAATTACTAGATGGTAAGTAGAGAAAAAAATAATTTTTACATTGAAAATATTTTTTTTCGGGCTGGGGATGTGGCTCAAGCGGTAGCGCGCTCGCCTGGCATGCGTGCGGCCCGGGTTCGATCCTCAGCACCACATACCAACAAAGATGTTGTGTCCGCCAAAAAACTAACTAAGTAAATATTTAAAAAAAGAAAAAGAAAATATTTTTTTCACCTTTTTATTGTGGAAAAATTGTATTTCTGTGTAGATTTTTAAAATAGTAAATTTCTATATTACGCACTACCCACATTTATTGAACATTGATTGATTCTGGGCAATTCAACACACATACCACAGTTATCCTGATGCTAATCCCAAATATCATTTCATTTATTAATATTTGTATTTCAGATGTTAAGTACTTTAGAAATCCATTTTAGTAATTGGATAATAGAATTTAAAGATAAAATTACATCATCAAGTGAACAGGATGAAAATAAGGATTCATTAGCCTAATGGGACAATGTGATATATATTAACCACCAATGAACATGGAAAGCTATTTCAGACTTTTCTAAGAAATACGATTTTAAATGCTATGGGTTTTATAGGACTAATCTTGTTTCAGTGTATAAACTGGGACTTGGTGTGAAAGTGGGTTTATAGATCCCTATATATTGTTCTTAATTAACTTGTGTGTGGCCTGGAGTTCAATCCCCAGTACTACCCAAAAAAGGGTATACACTCAAAGCTGGGTGTGAGATAATTGTATAAGATGTTAAGCAATAAGCTAGAGAGATTTTTCAGGATAACATTCCTTGCTGTATAGTGCCATTGTGGTCTTGAATTATTAAACATGAAGAGACAAAGAAAAATTGGGGATATGAGTGTTAGCAGAGTCCTAGGCTATAAGAAGCTTGCCTCTGAGGTCCAAAAAACTACATCTATTCACTAACTGGAAAACCCAAAGGGAAAAAAGTAATGGTGAAAACAGGAAAGGAACTTTAATTTAGTATGACCCTTTTGAAAAAGGCAAAGTGAGACCAGGAGTCTCAGCCCTTTACAAGGGTCTGAAAATGACCGAGATTTTTATAGAAAGGGAATTGAGAGTAGGAGAGAAAGGGAATTGAGAGCAGGAGTTGGAGGTTTTCATAGCTGCAGGATTTACACAGCTGCCAAAGCAGCTTGTCTTGATCAGGCATTGTCTGGTCTATCTTTATCTCAGGATTGCTCAGGCAGGGTCAGAAAACTGCTGTTCCCTTGGGGTTAGTTTTGAGTCATCACAAGATGTTTATAAATCCAGATCTGTTCTTGAAATTTAAGGTGATACAGAATATAGGTGACAGATACAAAATGTAGGCAAAAGTGCCAACTTTTTAATCCTTTTAGTTACCCATTGGACATTTACAGTCAAAAGTGAAGAGTAGTGGGCTGAGGTTGTGGCTCATTGGTAGAGCGAGCGCTTGCCTAGCATATAAATAAATAAAATAAAAGTCTATTGACAACTAAAAAAATATTAAAAAAAAAAAAAGTGAAGAGTCTTAAGTACTGGTTAAGCAAGTTCTATAAATTACAGACCTGGAATTAGGGTTAGGACATTTTTAACCAGATATTACAGATTTCAGAAAAGAAATAGATGATAATTTTAAATAACTTTAAAGATTAAAAAAATGAAATGTCAGATTTCTAACTTACTCTTTTGGGGATTTTTCGAAGCTCTCTTCAAAATAGGCTAATGAGAAAACAAGATCATTTTTGTTACTGTTGGGGATATCTGTTACATAAAATTAGAGACCTGGGTAGTTATTTTAGATTGCATGGGCCATGAAGTCTGTATTGCAACTATACAACTCAACTGTTGTAGCTCAGAAACAGCTGTAAACAGTTCATAAATGAACATGTGGGACTGTGGTTCAGTAAAACACTTTACAAAACAGACAGTAAGGCCATATTTGGTTTACCGGCCATATTCCTATTATATAAGATTTGGCTTCTTTGTTAGGTTCCTTTTCCCCCCCACCCCCTTTTTTTTTCCTTCTTGAAAAAATTTTTTTTCCAGAGTATATATCTTAATGCTTACTAACCCCTGATTATGCTGTTTTTCTTAAATTGTTAGAGGTTTTCAGTTTATACAGAGGAAAGAAAATCTTCAGTGTGTTGAAATAACATCCACTAGAGAAGAATAACGTTACTTAGATTAGGTAGAGGGGGGTGATGGGAGGGGATAAGAGGGGATGTGGGGATAGGAAAGATAGTAGAATGAAACAGACATTGTTACTCTGTGTATATATGTGACTGACCAATATGATTCTGTAACATGTACATTCAGAAAAATGAGAAATTATATCTCATTTGTGTATGATATATCAAAGTGCATAAATGCATTCTACTGTCATGTATAACTAATTAAAACAGATTTTTAAAAATTGAAAAAAAAAACAATAAGGGTTTTTGTACCTGTTTTCATCTGTTCTGTAGCTTAAAAATAAGGTTATCTATATCCCTGCCTTACCAGATTAAATAGGCATAATTTTTATAAAAATGGTTTATATACATATTGTGGAAATAAAGCTCACAAGTAAGTAATCTGTCTTTTATCCTGCTTGTAGGTCACAAGTAAGTTGTTACTTTTTTTTTTTTTTTTTAACAGTAGAAGCCACCTAAATGTTCTTCCTCTTTAATTCTGGAAAAGTTCACATTCATTATTGATTTGGAGAGTGATTGAATAGGGATCTTGGAAATTTAACACATTAAGATTTTTAGCATATCATGTAGCAGCTATTTTCTTTTTTCTTTTTTTCACTCGTAAAGTCTTAAGTACTTAAAATTTAATGTGTATCTGAATTTTAGCTTGGTGTCTGAAGTATTCTTATTTTTTATTAAAATAATTCATTTAGTGACAGTGTTCCAGAAACAACATTGATTTAGACTTTGCCTAACTATAAGGTTTTTGGGGTGTTTGTATATATTTTCAGATTAATAGACCCTTATATATGTGGTGGTGTTTTTTGCAGTTCAGGGGATTGAATTCAGGGCCTTTAGAATGCTAGGCAAAGCATTCAGTACTATTGAGCTACACTCTGAACCCTTACATTTTTTGTTACCTGGGATTGAACCAAGGGCACTTAACCACTGAACCACATCCCCAGACTTTTTTTTGAGACAGTCTCACTAAGTTGATGAGGCTGGCTTTGAACTTGTGATCCTCCTACCTCAGTCTCCTTGGTCACTGGGATTATAGGTGTGTGCCATAACATCCAGGGTCCTTAATATATTTTTTAGCTTTGAAAAAGAAAGGCCTCTATTTTTTAAGCATTGTACAGTGTTTTTTGTGACTCTAACCAGTTACTTATGTTAACAGATTATTTAACAGATTCTTTGTTCCTTTGTTATAAAATTTAATAGAGCCAGGCTCAGTGGACACACCTGTAATCCCAGTGGCTCAGGAGGCTGAGGCAAAAGGATCTCGAGTTCAAAGCCAGCCTCAGCAACTTAGCGAGGCCCTAAGCAACTCATTGAGACCCTGTCTCTAAGTAAAATACAAAAAATGGGGGCTGGGATTGTGGCTCAGTGGTAGTGCTCACCTAGCATACACGAGGCACTGGGGGATTCAATCTTCAGCACCACATAAATATAAAATAAAGATATTGTATCCATCTAAAATTTAAGAATAAATATTTTTTTAAAAATGGCTCAGTGGTTAAGCACCCCTAGGGTTCAATCCCCAGTACCCTCCCCCCAAAAATTAATGGAGTAGGATACATATGAAAAACAAAGCTTATGCTTTTTGTCTGCTGGGTACCAGGTGTTGGACTGGGAAATATTGTGTGTATTTAATGTTTGACAACAAAGTTGTTAAAGAAGCTAAGTCAAAAAACAATTTTTCATTAATATTGGACCCAAAAGTATTTTGAATTTTCTAGTGTCATGCAGAAAAGTGGTTGGTTGGTTGGTTGGTTTTGAACAAAGAAGTGAAAGTCCAGGCTTTTATCCATACTTGATCAGAAACTCATGAAAATAACAGAACAGTTATAAAATGGTCAAGAAGGTTGCATCTTGAAAAGTTATTAGATACTTTGATTCATGTGGTGGTTATTAGCATATGTAAGTCGTAGGCTAGTTTTGGATAGTCATCATGCTGGTGCAGAATTTTTGTATATTCTGCTTTTTTTTTTGGAGACATTCTGTCTTGTGTTTTCATTGTCAATCTTAATGTTTGCTTAGAATAGTTTACACAAAAACATGCTGTTTGTACTGAAAAATAAGTGAATCTGTAGTCTCCTGACAGAGGTTCCCTCCCACTATTGTGTTTCACTTGGCAGTGAAATTCATCTATTTGTTTTGAGGGTGGCCACTATTAATGATGCTATTTTAGTGTATGAAGTGATAATTTATTATAATCACAACACTTTGGAAAGTGGGTCATCTCACTCTCACCCTAAATTTAAGAAAATGGATAAAATTATGGCCAGGATAATTTGCTAATTATCACTATTTCTTAACACTATATATAAATAGTGTTGGTTGCTAGAGTATAAGTGGGGGAATTTATCCATTTATTTATTTTTACCTTTTCAACACTTTGAAAAGATTTAAAACTTAAATTATGAAAGAATGTATAGAATTTTCTGTACACCCTTCACCCAGCATCTCTGGTGGTGTTATCTTATGTAACAATATCATCAAAAGCAGAAAATTAACATTAGTATAATACTCTTAACTAAACCACAGATTATTTCCAGATTTTCCCAGATCCCATGTTCCATTTAGTTGACATGTTGCTTTAAGTTTGCCAGTCTGTAACAGTTCTTTAATCTTTCTTTCATGACTTTTGACCCTTTGAAGAATAATGGTTAGTTGTTTTACAGAGCATTTCCTAGTTGGGGTTTGTCCAATATTTTTTCATAATTAGATGGAAGTTATTTGGTTTTGGCAAGAAAACTGCAGAAGTATGCTTTATCTCACAAGGGATAAGCACTTAGGGTGATAATGCTTGAGTTTCTCCACTGTCAAATTATTATTTTTCTCTTTATAATTAATAAACACCTTGGAGAACATACATTGAGATTATACAAATATCCTTTCCTTCAAAACTTTTGCCCACTAATTTAAAAGAATTCATTGATAAAAGATCTATTGATGAATCTTGCCTTCAACAAATATTACTATATTTCTTGCCTAATGAAGTTTTTTGTGGGGTGGGGGAGGGACACTATATATATATGCACACACACACACATATATACACACTACAGAATTTTACAGAGATTCTAAAGCAAGTAATAGTGGCCACAGAGGGTGGGGGATATTCTTTTTAAAAAAAGAAGAACAACTGCTCTGCTTAGGCAGCTTTGAAAATACCAATTCAGAATTGTATCAACTTCTGTTGAAGGTTGAAGAGGAGTTTAACAATGAAAGAGATTAACTCTTAGGATCTCTTTTTTAATATTGCCCACTTGAAAGTAATTTAAATCCTAAAGACACCTTCTAAGTTTTTTATTTAAATTTTATTTTTAGAGCTAACACATGAGTTTCTACAAATATTGGAGAAAACACCTAGTAGGTTGAAGAGGATTCGAAACTGGAGGGTAAGAAAATTGGCAGGATTTAATAGATTTTCAGTTTGTCACTTAACTATTACATAGCTAACCAGTTTGAAATGATATGGTTAATCATCTTTCCAGTATTTGTAAATAATTAAGACATACCATAAGCTACATAGATTCATAGTTGATTCAACTACTTTGTCTGGTGTAGGTCTTTCAAGTACATTATACTTTTTATTTTTAATTATCACTGATTACAATGAAAGTATTCATTGTTCAAATAGATAAATTACTGTCTCATGATGGGCTAAGATTTAGTTTTTTTTCTAAAACTAGTATTTTCAACTTGATAGCCTTTTGATATATCTCCAAATAAAACATTTATTTACTGGCAACAGAAAACCTGAACTCCAGGTGATTTTATTTACATATATCTCATGTCATCTTTTATAAGCAAAGAAATTCATATTCCTTCGTTGTCATTGCTTCTTTTGTTTTATGTAAATAGGCTAATCAGGCGGCTAAGAAACCAAAAGTAGATGGACAAGTTTCAGAGACACCACTTCTTGGCTCATCTTTGGTCCAGAATTCAATACTAGTAGATAGTGTCACAGGTGTGCCTACAAACCCAAGTTTTCAGAAACCATCTACATCAGCATTCCCTACACCGGTACCTCTAAATTCAGGAAATTTATCTGTTCAGGACAGCCATACATCTGATAATCTGTCAGTGCTAGCATCAGGAATGCCCAGTACCTCATATGGTTTGTCATCACACCAAGAATGGCCTCAGCATCAAGAATCAACAAGGACAGAACCGATTTATTCACAGAAACAGGAGACATCTTTGTCTGGTAGCCAATACAACATCAACTTCCAGCAGGGACCTTCAATATCACTGCATTCAGGATTACATCATAGAACTGACAAAATTTCTGATCATTCTTCTGTTAAGCAAGAATATGTTCATAAAGCAGGGAGCAGTAAACACCATGGGCCTATTTCTGCTACTCCTGGAGTAATTCCTCAGAAAATGTCTTTAGATAAATATAGAGAAAAACGCAAGCTAGAAACTCTAGATCTTGATGTAAGGGATCATTATATAGCTGCCCAGGTAGAGCAGCAACACAAACACATGCAGTCACAGGCAGCCAGCAGCAGTTCTGTAACTTCTCCTATTAAAATGAAAATTCCCATCACAAATACTGAAAAACCTGAAAAATTCATAGGAGAGAAAAAGGAAAAAAGTGGATCACTAAAATTACGGATTCCAATACCACCCACTGATAAAGGCACCAGTAAGGAAGAACTGAAGATGAAGATAAAAGTTTCATCCTCAGAAAGACACAGCTCTTCTGATGAAGGCAGTGGGAAGAGCAAACATTCAAGCCCTCATATTAGCAGAGACCATAAGGAAAAGCACAAGGAGCATCCTGCAAACCGTCACCATGCAAGCAGTCACAAGCATTCCCACTTACATAGTGGCAGCAGCAGTGGCAGTAAATACAGTGCTGATGGAATACCACCCACTGTTTTGAGGAGTCCTGTTGGCCTGAGCAGTGATGGCATTTCCTCTAGTTCCAGTTCTTCAAGGAAGAAGCTGCATATCAATGATGCCTCTCACAACCATCACTCCAAAATGAGCAAAAGTTCCAAAAGTTCAGGTAGTTCATCTAGTTCTTCCTCCTCTGTTAAGCAGTATATATCCTCTCACAACTCTGTTTTTAACCATCCCTTACCCCCTCCTCCCCCTGTCACATACCAGGTGGGCTACGGACATCTCAGCACCCTCGTGAAACTGGACAAGAAGCCAGTGGAGACCAACGGTCCTGATGCCAATCACGAGTACAGTACAAACAGCCAGCATATGGACTACAAAGACACATTCGACATGCTGGACTCGCTGTTAAGTGCCCAAGGAATGAACATGTAATCATTTGTTTAGGTCAATTTTTCCTTTACTTTTTTAATTTAAAAATGGTTAAAGTGGAAAACTTCCTCCTGATCTAGCAGTGGTAACACCTGCTGTTGCTGCCACTGCTTCAAAATTTGTAAGTGCTGCTTTATTCTTCATTCTGAAAAGAAGAGATTATAGTAAACAAGTCTTTATCTCCACATATGATAGTGTTTATAAATACTGTAAAAGCATGGAAGGTGCAAAACTCAGTATTTCTACAATTGCAGCTAAGAACATTAAGATGAATGGCTGGCTGCTTCTAGGAATATAAGATGCCTCAAGCATCCATTATTTATAATTTGAATACTGTAGCTATTTTTTTGTTGCTTGGCTTTTGAATGAGTGTAAATTGTTTTCTTTTGTGTATTTATACTGTATGTATGATTTGCATGTTTCAATGATAAAGGGATAAAACAGTATGCTGACAACTGTTTACAAGAAAGTGGAGAAAAATGTACATACATTTTTGTATGTTTAGATATTACCATAAATACTCAGGATTGGAGCTGCTTATAAGTATAACAATATACAGAATAACTTTATTTTCTCTTGTCAGAGTCCATCACTAACCTAAAACAAAGGTGGCACTTTTTCATGTTAACCTTAAACTCTAGGCCTTACTGGAAGCCATTAGAGGGGGACACTTCACTACCGGATGGGTATGCAGTGCCACAGATGGTCTATACTGTGAGGCACTCAATTTTTGCCTTCAGAGGTTTTGACCAGATTGGCTGCTGAAATAACCCCTAATTTTCTGAAGGCTTGAAGAGGAAAAAATAAAGTTTACATACTCTTGATGTGAAGTGCATTTAAGTGTTTGTTGGCTTGTTGCAGTACTACAAAACAGCTATTAATAATGGATATGTGGATTACTGTGATTTGAAAACTAAATTCACAAAAACTTACATAGTGAAGAATTAGTAAGTTTTTCCTTAAAGAACTTTTAACACTACATATTTTAACAGTAAACAAGGATCACTTTACCTTTAGCATTCAGAATTACACCGTATTGTTAAATATACTCCTCCCCTGAAGTGTGTCTGTGTGTGATGCCATATTTTTTTCAGGTAAATGCAGTCTTCCTTATAAAAATGAAATGAAACCTATGCTCTCTTAATTGTTTTATATTCTAACAATAAAAAGATCACTGACTGTGCATTGTACCTGTACTTACAGCTTATGATTGTTATCAGAAAGTTCTATAAGAAAAAAAAAAAACTTCAGTCTCCAGTCAAACCACTCTAGTGGAGGTTTTATATTTGTTTGCACATCTCAGTATATTCCTGTTGAGGTAAAGTTTGCACAGTCATCTGACTCCTGATTGAATAATAGACTTTAACATGGTTAAATTTTGTCTTAGAACACCAGTAGTATGGCTCTTGTTTATTGGCTAATCTTGAATTTATTCTGTGGTATACCTTCGAGCTGTTTAGTATCTTTGAGATGGGTTGGATTCAACTTCTGTTGAACGGAAAACTGTCTTAATTTTTCCTCTGTGTATATGAACTATTTTTGTTACAAAGCCACTGATATGTGCACAATTGTAATTTTACTCAAAAATCTTGTGGTTGTAAATATTAAGAGTTTAATCTTGTGCTCTACTTTTATTTAGCAGTTACCTTATTTGCCAGTAGCTTATAATTTTTTTAAGATAATTGTTAATTATTTTTGTCAATGTTATTTGAACTTGGGAAACTAGCAGCCTCTTTGTAGGGACTTTGCCTAGCTAGCATGTCCACATTTGTTATTGTCTTGCATAACATTAGTAATCTTTGTCATTATATGTAACTTTGTTGCTCTGTATGGCATAATATTGTATCCATAAACATGGTAATTTTGATACAGTTATACTTTTACAGTGGTACATAATCCAAGGACTAGTATAGAATTAAGCTGAATGCAAGATGAGGGAGGGAAGGGTTTTTGTTCTTGGTAATTTTAGATGTGAAACCTCTACAGAGCTATCATGTGAAATGACATAGGGTGGTTGTGCTACTGTATAATTGGGGATAAAACCAGGAATTTTAATAAGATTTTGTAAAGAGTATCCAGAAAAGTAGCGAATTTATTTTCAGTATAGCATAGGAAACAATGTGAATATTTAAGGTCTGTGACTGTAGTTAAACTTCACTAAGAATTTGCAGAATTGTTTTGAGATGTGGGAATAAAGGTAATTTTGTTGAATCTTTATTGGTGCTAACGATGGACAGTTAAAAAGATAGCTAGTGTATATTGTTATGGGTCAGTACTTATTAGTACTTCCAAAATTGAATTTGAAATGCTATGTATTTACTTTTCACTCTGTAAATGTAATTCTTTACAATGACTTTATTTATTAAAGGGCAGCCGGTTGTGATTTTTACAGGATCGTGTGAGCTATTGAAACTCTTTAACCTCTGAACAGGATATTAAGCTTCCAGAACCACAATGGGGATAAATGTGGAAATCTTTTAAAGTTTATTTCCATTAAACAAAAATCTTATAATTCATATTATCGTGAATTTGCTTTAACCAAATTGTTTGCATAAAATAGTTCATCTGCCTGGTCCCATTAGGCTCTACCAAAGAAAAAGACTCAGACAAATGGACATTAATACCATGAGTCTTCTTGTAAGTAGCCATAAATAAACCAAAATAGTATCAGATTTAGGTATGAATTCCACATGTGCAAAGTACTGTTAAGGTGATACGTTTTTTATGACATTTTAAAAAATATTTGAAATATTAAAAAGCATTATCTTCAAACATCTTATAAAAGAGTGATTCATTTTTAAGTTGTGTTTTCCCCAGATCACAGATTTGTTACCTTTATACAAAAGCACATTACAAACAAAAGCTTTACTTCTACCTCTGATCCAGTTTTCCAGTATTGTTCTGTGCCCCCTTGAATATTTGCCTTAGCTACTTTATGGTGTTTTCAGAACCAAAGCAAAGGAGTGTTTGTTCATATTCAGGAGTGTCTGACATTCTCTTTAGGTAGGTCAATAACATCTCAGAGGCCTACATTATAAAATCACTGGTAATACTCATTAGTGATTGAGACCTTGCAGCGTCTCTGAGTTGCCTGTATTTAAATCCTGAAAAGTAATGGCATTTGTCCTAGGTTTTCTTTTTGAAAGCAGTTGCAACATGTGTGAATTAGTTCAGGTTATTCACAGTTGTTGAAAGAAAATTTCTACAGGATGTATGTTTTTTTGGATGTCATTAGGGGATGCTTATGGTACTTTGTACTAACAGATTTTAATTATATAGGATACCTTATCTTTGGGACCTGTCTATCCTCTTTGAATTAAAGAAGTTACTTATTGAGGTCCACTTTAGATGACCAGAGTAAGATGTTTTTGTTAGTTAACAAATACCTTGCCTTAAAAGGTTTCAAGCACATTTTCATTTATATTTGAGAATTTAAATTGCTGGTATTTATTCCTTAATCAACTTTAGAAATAAACCATTGCTTATAAGTCGTGAATATTATTATACAATACATATTCTTAGAGATTTTAGTGGTTTTCATTTTTGGAAATACTTTTTATTTTTTCAAACATGGTAACTTGTAAAGGAAGACAGTTATGTTCATTAGATTTCACTGTTCCCAGTTTTATCTAAATGAAAAGCAATATTTCTCACCTATTGTGCTTAACTTGCTATGTGATTTTTAGGGGTTTTTTGCTAAGCAATTTTTGAAAATTCTTGTTATAAAAGATCCTTGACTTAGTATTAGCAGTTTCTCCCTCGGCTGACTTCCTTGGGAGGCAGTAGGAATTCACTAACCAAATTTACACAGAGGAAGGATCAGCAACCCTCTGGGGCAACTTGAAGTTACAGTTTAAGTTTTATGTGCCCATATATTTAAGAGAGGCTGGTTTTTAAACACTGGGAAAACACATTATGCCCCTGTCCTCCTAGGCTACTGTTATGATAATAGTATGTTAATTTTGAGAGTTTGCGGCTATATTTATATCTAAAGTTGAAGGACAATTTGATTGTTGTAAGTTCACAGATGTAAGCCAAGCCAGAAGTTTGCTTGTTTTATAAGAAGTTTGCCTGAAACATGTATCTTTACAATTGAAGTAAACTTGCCAGTGCTCACTATTTAGCTCTGATACTATGCTTTCATTTTTTTTTTTTTTTAAATCCAGTGTTGATTTGGACCCCACCGGCTTTTGCTTCTTGACTTCTCTTTTTCTTTTCTGTAATTTATCCACATTTCTGCTTGAATTTTTTAGGTAGGTTGATAAGATGTATTAAAGGTTGCATAACTAAGAACAGTTCTGTTCTCATTCACTGTTATTCATTAATCTCAAAAAGTAAATTCTGAAAGCTGTTTAATTTCGATTTCCAAATTATATGAGAAAGCCTCACTTAAATTCTGCTTATTGACACTTCCACTTAGTAGTTTGATTTGCCTTTTGTTTAGTAATGAATACATTCCTGTTTTTAAGGTGTGTTTTTCAACCAGTTTCACTTGGTTAGAAAAACAAAATGGGTACTTACTCATTGTAAACAGAGATTGGGATTTCATTTTCTGAATGTAGTTAACCCCCACCCTCTCCCAAGGACAATTGGGATCTTTGCTGATAGAAAAATCCAAAACAGGAGTATGTATATACTGGCATGAATTAGTCACTGAATTTCAGCTTCTCAGTATCTATATAAGGAATTAATAAAATTTGCTTACTGACAACATAAATCCAAGGCTGTAACATGTCTTGTTAAATCAATGTGAATTAAATAATTTTTAGTCCCTGGGAAATGTGGTCTCTAATATAGTTGACTGTTTGGGGAGGTACTGGAATTGAAACCAGGGACTGAGCTATGTAAATCCCCGTCCTCATTTTATTTTTTAGTTTGAGGTGGAGTCTTGTTAACACGCTGAGGCTGACCTTGAATTTGCAATCCAGCTACCTCCACCTCCCAAGTCATTGGGATTACAGGCACGTGCCCACCAAGCCTGACTACAATTGACTATCCAAGTAACTATACATATATCATGAAGGAATGCTGCCTCGGATTGGATGGTCTGCATTCCAATCTCAGCCCCACTGCTTAATACAGTGATATTAGGTGATATATTTGATTTTGTGTCTTCATTTGGTTCCACGTAAAGTCAGTTTTTAAATCTGCCCTCTCCAACTTCCTCTGTACTCACATCAGTAAAGATAGTTACCCACATCCAGGATTTTAAAGTTTACAGAATCACCTGGAAAGCTTTTTTAAAGACAAGTTCTATGCTTTTAAATAAATGCTTTAAACTGTATAACTATCACCACCACTTGAACTGGGGATCAATCCCAGGTGTTAGTGCTGAGCTGTGCCCCTAGCCCCTTTTTAATTTTGGCACAGGTTCTTGCTAAGTTGCCCAGGCTGGCCTCAAACTTTGAATTCTGCATCCCAAGTAGCTGCCTAAATTGAATACTTCTTTTAAAATACAGCAAAAGAAAAAAAGGCAATTTTACAAGTGTTGGAGTATTTAAGTTGCTCATTGAGCAGATTAAGTTGGTTTTTATCTTGCAGCTGCTTTTTTTTACAGAAGGCCCAGGATTGCTCTAGTGGTCTTCCAATAGAGAGTAGATATTATATGTTATCCCACATGCTAGAGAGTTCGCTCTCCTTGTCACCACCTCATTCAGCAACTGAGAAAGGTCCACAATATCAGGCCTAATGTAGGTTAAAGTTGAAATCAGAGGACTGCTTATTTTAGAGCTTTACTTGGAAGTTAAAATTTCTTTGTTTGAATTTGGACCTAGAACATAAAAGAAGATCAAAACAAAATGAAATTTTAAAGTGTGATGGTATGAAAACTTGGATAGTTGTTCTTGGTGGAAATAGTGATGCTCATGGATTGGAAGGCAGTATAACTGCTAAGTGTAGAATGGAAAGCTTTGCACACCATTAAAGTATTCAGAATACATTCTAGACTTCTGGTATTTTGAGCAAACCTTAAGAATGTAACTGGTATTTTAAAACTATTGAGTCTGGAAGGCTGCAAGGAAAAGAGCTTTCAGGTTGAATGTATCTGGGTAGCAATCCCAACTACCAGTTTGGTAATCTTGAGAAAACTACCTCTGAACCCTATTTTGAAGGTTTTTTTTTTTTTAATTTCAAAATTGTGTTCAGTTTTCTTTATTAACAGAAAAGGAGTAGGTTATTTTAATCAACTTAATATGTTCATTACCATGGTCTTTGTACACAAACATTCTCTACCCTTTCCTCATGGGTGTAATAGGGTTGAATATTCAGTATGATAATCAAATCCCCTCTGCACCCATTCTGGGAATCAATTCCAGGCCTTGTGTAGGCTTGGCACTACCACTGAGCTATATCACCAGACCTAAAAGATATTTTAAAAAGACTTAAAATCTCCAAAATGAGAAAAGAATTAAGCCCTACCTTTACAGAATCACATTATTTCTGATCATGTTGGTATGCAAGTTAAGTAAAATAAGGAACTAGTTTTAAAAATAAGCTTTTCAAATATGAAAAAAACTGTCCAAGCTTGAGAGAAGGGAAGTAAACTCAAAGACTTCATTCAGTGTTATATGTTGGTCAAAGCAAAATCTGCTTTTTCCTCACCTGGGCTACATTTTACATATATTTCTCAAAAACTAAAGCAGCAGCTTGGTTTTGGCAAACCCTGATACTATTGTTAGAAGGCACCTGCAATTAATTTATAGTTGTGCCATCCTGAAAGACCCTGGATATAGCCTAAAACAAGAGTCGATGAAATTTAGTGGATGAACCCACAGTAATTAAAATTAAAAAAAAATGTAAAAAATTGTCCACCGACTTAAAGGGACTTGAAATATTCTAACAGTTCTTTTCCAGAAATAGAAATGTTTGAAAAGTAGCCAGGTACACCTGTAATCCCAGCGGCTTGGGAGGCTGAGGCAGGAGTAGGGTGAGTTCAAAGCCAGCCTCAGCAAGAGCAAGGCTCTAAGCAACTCAGACCCTGTCTTTTTTTTTTTTTTTTTTTTTAATATTTATTTTTTAGTTCTTGGTGGACACAACATCTTTGTATGTGGTGCTGAGGATCGAACCCGGGCCGCACGCACGCCAGGCGAGCGCGCTACTGCTTGAGCCACATCCCCAGCCCCTCAGACCCTGTCTTTAAAATACAAAATTGGGCTGGGGATGTGGTAGAGTGCCCCTGCGTTCAATCCTGGTACCAAAAGAAAAGGGACCTTTTTGTAAGAAAAGGATGACTTTAACTCAAGTGAAGTGACCAAAGTTCTCTGAAAAATTTATGCTGTGGATTCATTCTCTTACCAGATCTAGCTTTTGTTCTGCCAGCTGGTTTAGGCTTAGCCAGTTCTAAGTGTGGTAGGCAGAACTGTCAAATCGTATTATGCATTAATTACAACAAAAGCAGCCAAAGTCTTATGACTCTACCTTAAATAAATAGTTCAACAACTTAAGAGTTCGGGACCCTCTCATGGAACATCAAGGCACTTACCTCCTGGTAGACCTCAAGGCTCCTAGAATCTAAGGTTAGCATTGCTGCCAAAGTAAACAGTCTTAGCATCTCTTTTGACTTAATTTCCCCACTTTCTTGTAGACTCCTTTACAAGAATTAATAGTCTCTACTCACCAAGACAAGATAAATGTCTTTAAATTTATTGTATACTTATGAAATTAAAATTGAGAGGCCAAAAATCAAAGGAAATACATAAAACAATAGATTCCTGGACAATCAAAACCATAAACACTGGAACAGATCATTATTTAGGAAACCTTTCTTATACACATGAATAATCATGCCTGAAACTTGAGGCTGCTAATATGTACCTAGAATTTGCTGTTGGTAATACCGTAGGATCTGGTTAAGTTGGGGTAGACAATTTCCAAGAAGAAAACAAAGGTCCTTAACCATCATTCCCCACAATTAAGCAATAACCGCATCTACATTGGCCTGGGGAGAAAGTCTTTGTGTTCTCAGTGATTTCTCTTCAAGAAGGAGTGTTTCAGGAGCTGGAGAGCTGAAGGTCGCTCATGCTGGTCCCTAAGAAGGGAAAACACATTAGAAGCAGCACCCAGTAATGTGCCTGTAAGATGCACTTCACCCAGTGCAGACTTTGAAGATAAAAGTACAGCCACCAACTGTTCAACAGACTTGGGCTGAGTCCAGACTCCAGTTTTCAGCTATGGAATCTTAATGACTCAGATTTTCCTCATCAGTGAAGTGGAGTTAAGAATAATACCTGAGTTAATAATAATACCTTAAATAACATAGATCTGGGTTTTAAATGGTAGACCTGTAGTAGTTCAAACCAAAAAAGCCCCTCTTTTCTATTCTCTTGTTCAATTTCTTTGGGGTATGATTTACACACAGTCACACTTTCATGGGTATAGTGCAATACGTACTTTAAATTAACATTGGAATCCAGAACTGAAAAAAATTTTTGAAAGTAGACACTTAGACACTTAATTTTAGGAAGTAGACAAAGTGCATTTTGGTGATAAATTGCAATACCACCATGTTGGGCATTCTTTTTTTTTTTAAACTTTATTTTATTTATATTTATGTGGTGCTGAGGATTGAACCTAGGTCTTCACATGTGCTAGGCAAGCACTTTACAACTGAGCTACAACCCCAGCCCCCACTTTGGGCATTCTTAAATGAACATAAAGTAAAAGGAAACGGTTGCTGAGTACTATTGTGATTTAGGGTTTTTTCTTCAAGAAATTAAAAGCTTTTGGAAATGTTCCTGCTCAATAAGCAAATTGGCACACTACTGAAATTGTCAATCATTAGCTGCAATGAGCTATGCCAAAGGCATTCTTTTGCTAGCTTTTGATAGTTTGAAAGCAAAATGACCACCACATCATTTTTCAGGTGAAGATGGAAATAAACTACTTTTAGGTGTTTTTTGTATATCATTTCAAAATAAAAATCACCATAAGAGGCCCTTTCTCCTGCCTTCAAAATAGAAATCACTCCTCAAAAATCTTTCCCTTTCCATCTAACTGCTATCCTCTTTTATCCCTTCCAGATGTTCCTAACATATCCAAGCTTAGTGAGTTCCCCCCTGCAACAAAACTTGTTTTCCCCTAAATACTTAGTCATTTGGCCCCTTGCCCTGTAGTATTTATCCTCTTGATATTAAACAGATTTAATGAGCTCATCCTTGTCGCTACAGCATTTGAAATACTCACTATTCCCTCCTACCGGAAACTGTCTCCTTTTAGACTTAGAAGGAACTGTGCTTTTGATTCCCCACCTCAGGCAACTCCACTCCTTACCTCCTTCCCTTTGTCCCCTCCTTTCTCC